TGTAATTTCATCCAGGACAGCAACGGTTTGGTGTGGTAGTCGTCGTCGGAATCTTATCATATTTCTTCAAAAATGCTGCCGGTGAGAACGTAACCGTCGATGGCAACCGTTACCGCGCTATGATAACCGACCATTTGATGCCTGAAATTAAAACTTGTGTTCTCGACGACATTTGTTTTCAAAAAGACGGCGCCATTTCCCACACATCGCATCAGTCAATGGATTTATTGAGAGAACAATTCGGTGAGCAGATAACTTCTCGTTTTGGACCACATTATTGACCACCAAGACAGTGTGGTATCACACCGTTTGACTTTTTCTTGTGGGGATATGTGAAGTCTTAAGTCTATGCGTAGAATTCCACTTCAGTTCAGACCTTGGAGCAAAACATTACGCGTGTCATACACCAGATACCAGTCGAAATGCTTGAGCGAGTCATCGAAAATTGAACTCAACGGATGGATCATCTGAGACGTAGCCGCGTCCAACATTTGATAGAGATAATCTTCAAAAAATAAATCCCAAAGAAGGTTCGTACGAATGATAACACACATTCCCTATTAAATTTTAAATTTTTGTTTTTTTTTGTTTAAGGTAGCGCACCTCAAAATTTAGTTCAAAATGGCAAATTAGGTTTATAAATATTATATTCTTATTATAATTTTGATATAATAATTACTTTTTTTATTTTTTATTTTTTTTTATATTTCTTACTTTTTACTTAGCCACTGTATCCATTACATAAAAATCAACAAAGCGGAATAAATATAATGACAACTATTATGCTCCATACTTGAACTCATTTCGCCAATGACAAGTAATATTGTACATAGTACATATCTATCTATGTAGTTTATATATGTACATATGTATGTATTTTTGTATTGACTTTTAAGAAAGCTAAAAAATTAGTGAGATTTTCTCATATGCAATGCAACCTGAACAGTTTAATGCCAGTGAACCAGATTGGATTGAACTGATTGTCGTCGGTTGGAAGCAGCAACTGCCATAGTAATATAGCAAATGAAAATACATGCACACATACATACATACAAACGCATACAAAAAGGTAGTAACCGAAAAAAGCAAATCAAAGCAAAATTGGCAAACTAGGCCATGTGCCGTTTTGGATTTACTCTACTTTATGTACTCTGCTCTCAGTGCTTTTAATTCGGCTACTGCTTTTAAGGGCCGCCTTCGCCCGCGCGCACGCTTGCTTACCCTCTTCTATCATTTGACTAACTGGCTGGCATGCGTTATATGCTATGCAAGAGAAATAGATAAAAATATATAATGTATATATATATATATATGTATGTATGTGCGTGTATATATATGCACTTGTATGTATGCATACACATGTGCACTTGCTGTGCCAAAAAGCATTTACAGTTACTTTATGCACCACTGTCAGTCGTCAACTTTGAAGCTTTGGCAAAATTTTTGGGTTACCAAGCGTTAAGCGAGGGTTGGCGCATAGCACAATGTGTGGTGATGCTAGGAACATATTTGTGTATTTGTGTGTGTGTTACAGAGCAATTGTTTAAGCGTGTGCTGTTGTTTTTGGAATATACATATGCTAGTTGCGAAAATAGCAAAGAAGTCAGCAGCCATATTGCAACCAAAATATTTCCGCTGACACACACACATACACACATGTATGACACATATCTATGTATGAATACGTGTGCGCTTGTTTATAAAGAGTGTGGAAAAAGAATTGGAAATATGTGGTACAGTGAAGGAATTTTGAATTGTAAGCGCATGTTGCATTAATTAAAGACGCATGGAATGGAGAATGTTCAGCTGATATTTCAGTGCGCATACACAACCGCATACTCACACACATAAACAATAAGCGAGAGCAGAATATAGGGACATCCTTCTTCATAATACTGAAAGAATGCATAAAGGTGAAACTGAGGTTAAAAAAAAAGAAAATAGAGAAGATTTTCAACTAATCACATATAAAATTTGACCTGGACTGGTCTATAAAAAACTTATAAAGGTCGTGAAGTCATAGAAAAATTGCCTGTTGCGAGTCATCTATCCATTTATGTTAAAGTCAATAACATCGATAAAGTTAAAGAAACGACGCTTTAGGACTGTCGTATTGGCATCAGTGAGATTGGAGAGGATCTCAACATCTCTGAATCGACTCAATCATTTCGGTTAATATTTTGCGCTTGAAGTGTGGCAATGACAGACTCGTACCAGAATTTTTTATGGAAAAACGACGCTGAAAAAAGAGCAGACAACATAGCTGAAGACTATAGTTGCTGTATCATAGTGGGGATGCGTTGCATGCTGGACATATATTTGATATATCGGGGTCGATTCTGGATAAGTAGGAGTTTCACCTGCTACAGTATCCAGAATGAAGCTGGGCAAGGGTCACTCTCGATTCTCGCTGCAACTTGAGCTCGTCGGCTGCAATGGATGGTGGTTTGGCTGCAAGTACGCCATTTACTGAGAGGGAGTCGGTGAAGGTGTTTATGGCTTCACTGCGAATGCCGGTCAATACATTTCTGAAGTTAATTTACTCCGAAGTCTGGTCGTCGTATTGTCTTATGTCATCTTCATAGTTGAAAAAGACCGCTGGATGGTCTTAGGAGGGGGTTCAGCTTCAAGCAGGTGACAGATGATTTCTACAAAAACACCCCAGCAGAAGCTGCTTGGGAAGGAGTTCATTATGCTCCCTAACTGAGAGCATACATGCCTCACAGTCGAGACTTATAAAAACTGTATGAAAAATCGAATATGCTTGTATTAACATTATTTTGAATAAATATTTGTATTTAAATACATATATAAGTTGTAATACGAGTTGAATTTGATCAGACCTTAACCGGTGAGTTCAAATTAATTTCTCACTCTTCGTCAATAATAAACTTTAAATCCATTGACCTACAATTCTTATTTCTTTCATATATTATTTTGAATCCCAACTCATCCAACCCACTCCCAAGTGAACTTCTACATACATGTGCCTTCCTGAAAAGGAAGAACGAGGTGCGCTGTTGTAATCTATAACCGTGTAAACGGAGTCTACATCAGTAAAGAAGAAGAAGGGTTTATATCCACATGCGAGCCGGATATACACGTTTTTATGTGAAGAATTGTTGCTATAGATTAAGAAGTAGTCAAAATGTTGATGTTTAAAAAATGGTGGCTTCCGAAATAGAAAGTATTTTTTGCGAAAACTACCTCAGAGTGACTGTAAAAATCGAAATAATAATCAATATCAATAATATTTCTCCTTCGATTATTACTTCACTAATATATTCAATAATGTTATGAGAATTACACGTCTATTCGTTCAGCTGTTCCGAAGAAATTTGCAGCACTCCGAAAATAGCGTTTCGCGAAAATGCATTTAAAGTTTTGGAAGCCGATTAAATTAAGTTAAGAAACTCTCACCAATTCGTTTGTTTCTAAAACTATTTGCAGTATCAATTTTCGAAGAATTTCTTATATTTATGTATTTAAGATATATTTACATACATACATACATACATATGTAAATGCACAATAAAAAGCGCTTCAATAATTTTATAGTCTAATAATTAATTTCCAAAAGCAACTATGTATTTCTACTTTAATCTTTATATATACAAATTTCTCCACACAGTTGCCATTACTATGCACGCCACTGTATCGTATAATCATCAGTGCAAACATGTGACATGTAAACGTGTAGCTTTAGCTTAAGGGTTTCAATTTTGGCTATTGTATGCACCGAGAGCGACGTCTGATCTGAATTGCTCGGCTATTTACACTATATATAATTGGGACAACAAAAGCAAGCCAGCAGCAGCAGCAGCTGGGTAATGAAAATGGGGCAATGGAAACTTAACTAAATGCATGCATAACTATACACATACTGTATATCCAACTATACACATGTACATATATGCATGCATAAGTATGTGCACAAAAATTGCAGTGATATAATAAGTATTCGGGAGGTTCACCAATTAATTATCATATTTTGTGTGCCCTTTAACTATGCAAATTGGCAGGCAGCAACATTTTGGTGCTAAAAAAAAAAACTAAATCACAATAAAGATTGCATATTATTTATGTGTTTATGTTATCTATGTCTGTTTACATGACTCTTTGCTAACTCAAAAAGATGATCTTTGAAGAATGCTTTGGTATAAATAAATCTAACATATCTCAACTCATTTTCACTGTTTTCAATTTTATTAACACACACATACAGATCTAGCGCCACGTAATGATATACATACATATATTATTATACAACAACTTTTGCTCATTGCTTATTTGCGATTTTATTTATTCACTTTTTACCTTATTTCTTTGCCTATTTTGTGTATTTTCCTTTTATGTTTGCTTTTTATAGGTTATGGATCGACGTTTTGCCGTTTACTAAAGTTATTTAGACGTCGATTTTCTTTCTGGTCGTTTTACGCCATCTTCTTCTTTATTTTATGTGCTACACTTGTTTCATGTTTTGTATTTGTGCTTCGCATCGAATTTAATTATGTACGCTTTTTTCACTTGCGAACGTTAAGAACGATATAAAAAGATTAATAATTATACCCTGAACAGCATGATGAGCTCAGTCGATTTAGCCATGTCCATGTGTCTGTCCGTCTATCCGTCGGTCTGTATTCATATACATACATATATGAACTTGTCTCTCCGTTTGTGCGATATCGATCTGAAATTTTGCAACCGTCCTTTCCTACAGAAGAAGCCGCTCATTTGTCCGAAACGCCAATGTTGGATTACTATAGCATATATCTGTCACACAAACTGATCGATCAAAATCCAATTATATGGAAACATTTCCCAAGAAAACGGTTCAATTTTCGAAAAAATTATTCAATATGAAAATATCTTTATACCCTTTGATGCTATTAGAAATACTCCTTTGCAGGTTATTATAGCTTCGAGCCAAGTTAACGTTTTTTTTCTTCTTGTTTTATATGGCGCTGTACATATATAAGTTTCAATGAAGAAACACTCACCCACTTGCCACGTCTATTTGGATAGAAGATACACAATTATGCGCTTGTACACGGTCGAGCGTTCCGATTTGTTTTTGCAAAGTGCGCCAATGTTTTAGTACTAAAACTACTTATTTATTTCAATATAGACTTGTGTGTCAATGCGAACACTTCTTTCAGTAATCCGTTCAGGTGTATTGTAGCAGAAGCACTGACGTCGACTATGGCTGCGACGACAACAATTAAATGACGCAGGATGTTGTTGCTAGCTTCATTTCCGGGTGCGCTGCTCGCACGGCGGTGGAAATGTGGCAAGTATGTTGCCTCCACCAACACTACTTGAAAATATTGCGACACAGCTTTAAAATTGTTAATGCGTTATCGTTAACCAAGGGCTAGTTAGTCGAATTGCTGCTGCTCCACACTTCAATTTCTCCCTAAGGCGCTGTTTTAACGCTTTAAAAGTCGTCGATATTAAAAAGCCAACAGAGGTAGCTATATCTATTGCAGTGCAAACCCGATTTTTCATAGATTCGAAGTATTCTTTTTTTTTTGTTCCAGTTTCGCCGATTTTATGCAAATTTATCTCATTAGCGGAACATGTTTGTACTCACTTAAATGCTTATACATTTGAAATAGTTTTTTTTTTTTTTTTTTTTTTAACAAAAAGTGGATACGCGTTTAGAAAATCAATTTGACACCAGACAATTCACTTTCAGTAGTGCAAAAATAAATTCACCAATTTTATTTATATTTTATAATATTTGTAGGTTGAAAATTAAAGTTTCATTTTTATATTTTTCAATGTGAAAAAACTCGAAACTTTTCTCTGCTCAGCTCCTTTGTTAAAATTTTAATTGTATGTTGTATTGAAAATTTAACGAATTTAGATTTTAATTTAATTTCCGGCGCAAGTTGTTTTCCATATAAAGTGATTACCGTATATTATGTAATAATCCCGTTAAATTTCTATTGCATACTTGCATTTTTTCTTCATATAATTTTGTACAAAATGAAAATTTTCACATTCTTCTTCTTCAATTTTGGCGTACTTGCGTAGCTGTGACGTTATTTCTCTAAAATTTTCACCCGAACTGATTTTCTACTTTTCCGACCGTGCGCTCTGAGGCAGCATTGGAAGTTTTCGCTTGGTTAAACGTAGTCATCGTTGTCGCAGTCGAGCAGCACTCGGTCGACGTCGTCACTCAGCTCAGTGTTGATATTTCCACACAAACAGAGACGGACGTTCTATGGTGCAACGTAGCACAGGAAAAATCAATCTTTTTCTCATTTCGTTTTTGCCTTCACATTCGCCTACTCACTCGTATACACACAAATATATTTCTATACATCTATGAGGCGACTCGCTACCCCCACTGCATGTGTAGCTAAGTGGGTGCCCTAACCACCCTCTAAACGATACAGTGAATGCTTTCGATGTTCATTTCAAAAGTTGCCAAGTTTATTTTTGCTCTTAGTTAAATTTAACTTCAAAGCTACGTTTACACAATTGTTGGATAGTACCGCGAAGACACATATAGTACATGTAATTAAATAAATAATTCTTTCCACAACTTTATTTCGAAATCATATGATTAGTGCTCTAAAAATGAAATAAAAAATATGTAATATATACCATGAGTATGCAGGAGAGTCCGGTTAGTCAGGTTCCATTCCAGTTTGGTCTAAAAAAGCTGAACAAATCCGGGTTTGTAATCGGCCAAGGACTGTCAAATTGGTGGTACGTTAGAACAACAACAACATATATACAAACACATATTTTTTTCAGTTGTGAGGAAATGTTGTTTCGAGAAGCTTATGACACGATCTGTGCCTGCTGATCATATATTTTAAAATATTTTCCGATCCTGAAATGTATATCTAGCTACAACTTATCATCAAGGCAACATCTAATTCGTTCTGGTAAAGCTAAAGGATATATTTATATATAGTCCATTGTTAGATAGAGTCCCGCTTGTGGAGTTATAGCTCTAGGTTGAACGACCAGCAAATGGTTTCGGCCTGTAAAACCTGTTATTTATCGCTACCGCATGGAATAATTCCTTAATATTTTAGTTTTGGACTGCGCACCGCTTCATTTATTTAGATCGATCCTTCTCATTATAGAAAACTGACAAGCTCTTAAAAAATCACTTAAATTTTTACAAACATATGTATGTACATATGTAGCAGTTATTTTACCCAAATGTATGTATATGATTGAAGAAAACATATTTCACTATTAACATCAACTCAGTGAGCAAAGTTACACTAAACATGTGAAGGTAATATTAGGTTAATACTATGTGCATATACATACATATCATTACATTAAACAACTTTTTTAATTAGAACAACACATGTTCAAGAAGTTGCATAAAACATTCTCAGCAAAGGATTTTTTTAGCTTTTCGCACAAAATCACATTTACGCCCACATAAAAGTCTGTGGGGGCGTCTACGCCCACATAATACCCACAATGCATTTCATTATATCGATTTTAGTAAATAGTTAATCCTAAGAATTTTGAAGAACAGAATTTTTATTGAACTTAGTAGCAAAGATATCCAATTGGATTTTAAGTAAACAAACTCACAGCTGTTTTGCAGGTCTTCTTCCCATTCTTATCTAAGCCGTGACAAACATGGCGCAGCAGTTATAAAATCACAATCATTTACTTCCTCCTATTTAAATTCCATCACATACACGAGGCTAGTAGGTAATATGCGCATATCGCAAACTCCAAACTTATCTACTTAAGTATATTTCTATATGTTGAAAAACATTAATTAACAGTTTCGCACCTTTTATTCTATTTCGCTTCTTTTTATGGGTTCGATCTGCTCCAATTGTAGCTACGTTTATTATATTCACTTGGAAATATACATGCAAAGATATTCGCTTAGCGCACTGTTTTTATTAAATTAATTTTCTTATATAAATAGTTTTAGGACTTCATTCTTTATTTATAAAAACATGCACATTAAATGAAATTTTTTTCGTAATCGCTAAAACCACTTTCCTAGAATTTCCCCGACCAAAAACCGAGCCGCACGAAATCAAAAATCTTAATGAAAAATGTCCCAACAAAACTTATAAGTGCTGCCACAAAATATCCAATCGGAATTAATGGGTATGTTCGTTGACGAATGATTATAGGTCAAAATATATTTAACCTGAATTTGTAAAAATTTAATATTTCAAATAGAAATTAGCAAAATTTGTGTGTATTATTATTTATAATATTAAAAAAAGTTTCTCAATGTATATTGACTTTAATTTCTAAAATTTTTTTTATTTGAAATATATCCTAAATATCGATAAAATCATCTGTAATCGACATTATTTAACGACACTGGATCATATGTTCAGCCATTAAAGTGATAAACATTTCGGAACAAGTTTATTTGTTTTTATAATTTAATAAAGCGTTGAAATAATTAACAACATTCCATATTTTATTTTTGTAATCGACGAAAGTGCTATATACGTAACTTGATTTTGCTTGACTTTGTGTTTAATATAAAAATATGTCTCTGTTGGATGTTGACTCATGGCAAGTTTTTGGTTTTAAGTCGCAATACTGTTTATTAAAGATTCATTAATAACTCTACAGGTCAAGAGAATGCGAGGCATGCTCAACGCTTAATCAGAATATCATACAAAAATTAGAAATACGTGAAAAGCGTCAAAAAAATTCTTTCGAATATAATCGACTCACAACTGCCATACAAACTGAGCTAAAGCAGTTCGAAGGTGAAGTCAAGGAGCTCTTTCAGAAGCTTAAACTTTTAGAATGCGCACGATCCATGTACAGTTTGTTTTAATAATTCTCCAATTGTTTGTATTATTTAAAACTTTCTACTGTAAACATTACTCTGTCCCAATATAGAGAACCCGACGAGCTCTACCACAGAAAGCAACAAGTGGAAGCACTTCAAAATCAATTAGCGCAAGTGAACCGAAAAATAACGCAGGATATGCGTGGAGATCGCGCGGAATTGTTTGCTCAACCGCCCAATTATTTGAACACTAGATCTGAAAGTTCTAATGAAAGCGCAATCTCCGCCGAAAATACTAGTGATGTAAACACCTTAAAGAACCGTCAAATCGATATATTAGAGCAGCAAAACCGCGGTTTAGAAGTTTTATCTCAGACAATATCGAGACAACGAAGTCTCGCTTCACAGTTGGGACAAGAAGTCGAAAATCAAAATGGTATTTGGCGAAATGTATAATGTAAATATATGATTGTTTCTAAATTATGAACAATGTTTAGATATATTGGATAATTTGGCCGATACTATGGACAGAGTTGATGCTCGTGTACATGTCGAAACAGGAAATATTGGCGACATAAATCGAAGGGATAGTACATGGGGTATGTAAAAGGTGTGAATATTTTTATTAACAACATAAATTATTATTTTTATTTTATAGGTTATTGGCTAGTTATCATAATTTTATTTGTTGCCATTGTTATTGTAGCAGTTATTTAGAATGTAGATGGCTACGGAATTGGTGTGTATTTTTCAAATAATTGTGCAACGGTATTAAAACAGTGTATTTAAAATATTGTAAATAATTGTTGGCGATTCGCATTTAAAATGATTGGAAAGTCTCTTGTACCAAAGCGTGAATAACACGATAAACTTGTAAGGTATCTTCACCGAACAAAGCATTAAAAAATCTATACATATATGGCATCATACTTCGTCATTTACTTACGTCTGAAAAATAAGTTTGTATCAACATAAAAAGTTTCACAAATAAAAAAAGATTTTTTGATCCTATTGTATTTTTAATGTGTATCACTTCAACAATACCCTTATTACATTCAGCTTATTACACTTCAGAGTGACTAATTTTCACTATTAAATCGATTTGGTTGAAGATCAAAACATATTTTATCAAGGTTCTCATTTGGGGTGTTTAATAATATATATCAATAATTCAAGAAATGTTACAATTAAGCTAGATCTGACGCATACGGTACATTGGCTAGGTTTCCAACAGCCGCAACCGATAACTTGGATGAGCCAGCTTTCTTGGCAGCCTATAAAAAAACATATTTTGTATTATATTAATTCATATCGGAGGGGTTAAATGAATACCTCTTGCACTTCTTGCTGTGTGACACCATCGACAGCCGACAGCAAGGACTCAATGCTTTGTACTTGTTTCAGATGTACAGCTTGGGCACCAATGACATTGATCAAAGAGCTATCTGTGGAGTAGCTCTCCAAAATAGCAGCTTTAAGCAAAGCCTTGCCACGGTTAACATCATTAGAAGAGACTGAGCCCGATTTCAAGGCACGTGTTAACGCATCAACAGCCTAGTTCACAAAATATATATAAATAAGTAAGTGATTACACAACAGTTGTTGCGATAACGATTTACCTTGCCAATGTTTTGTCCATCGGTAGAAATCAAAAAGCCGAACAGACCAGCATCTTCATATGCAGCATTAATGGTCTTGTATGAAACGGATGCATCGGTTACAGCACTTTGCAATGCTTTGCCAAAGGTGCCATTAATATTGCCACGCTTAGTGGCAGCTCCAGATCCTACGGCTTGCTTCAAAACGGCAAATGCCAAAGCCTCCTTTTGGTTGAGTAGAGAACCACCTTGTCCAGCAACAGCGACATGGGCAACA